CATCTGCTGCGTCAAGCTGACACGCAGAGATTGTGTTTGACTTTCAAAGGAAATGTGCGATGAGCGTGCAACGGAACTAGGAGGTAATTAGTAAGACTTGAGTTGATTTTTTTTTTTTCTCGATACTTAAAATGCCACACAATACTCACAGCTGAAGGCACACAGATGTTGGAGCTGGTAAATGGCATTGGAAGGAGAGCTTATTATGATTAAATGAATGTGATTGTGTTGTAACCCAGAGGTACGGAGCGGAGGAGCTATGCGAGGGTGAATGCAGCTACAGTAAGAGGTTGTCCTAATGATGATTTCAGAGCTTACGGTATGTGCGACTGTGTATTTTATTTATTTATTTTTTTGTCCTTAAGCGCAGAAAAGAAGCTCAACGGGATAGATGGATGCATGGATGGATGGTTGGATAGATGGTTCAGTGAATGCATGGATGGATGGGTGGTTGTGATGATGAATGGATGATAGATGTGTGTCTGATATGCCGCGGGAGCACTTCCACTGACTAAGAGATAAAAACCTCAAAGGGGCTTAAAAATCCATCTTATTGTTATCTTGACAAAAATGTCAAGATAACAACAGCAAAAGCCAAAAACTGAACCAGATAAGGGAAAATAAATGACAGCAGAAATCAGCAAGGAAGGAAGTGATAGGACAACAAATTCCATACAATAATTATTTTGGGTATTGCAATATATTTCCATTGTCATAAAGCAACACAATGACACTTCGACCAAAATAGTTTAATTTTTGAACTTATTTTCACGATGATCAGATAGGATTAATACAGAATCGATGGATCCGGTATTTGCTAATATCACAAACTCTGCCACAATATGACTTTGACTCGATACATGGGCCTGCAGTCAAAATGAGATGATGTCAGTAAATGTCCTCATTGTGTTTTTCTTGGCTGCTTACCATTATCTGCCTGGCGTTAGGCCACTAGCACTGTTTGAATGTTTAGGAAGAAGGTGCAATTGGACAGAAATAATGACACAGAGGTGCCATGGGAATTTCAAAAATAAAGGCATATTGTAAAGATGATGATATGATTTCTGTTAGGGGACCAACCCACTTCAAAAGATTCAGTGTCCTCCATCTATACTGAGTGGGTCCAGACCACTGTCACGTTGGGTAAGAGAGTGTTCTTGCAACAATGGTCAATCAGTACCAGACTGGCATGATCTGCTTGCTGGAGTGACATCTTATGAACAGGTATCCTCCTCTCTGCTGGGCAGGATAGAATGGTATGCAAAATGGGAAACTTTTCCTTACTACATCAATGGCCTTCAAAGACAAACCCATGCACACATGCACATATACATCCATGCTTACTCACTTGGTCCCAAGGGAGCACTTTCTATGAAGACCACATCTATAATATGTTATGAGAGCGTTCATAGTGAATTATAATGCATTTACAGTGCTCTATGACTACACTTATAAACACACATAATGCTTCCTGATGCACTTATCAACAGTCAAACATTATAGATGTGACTTAAAATTGCAAGTGTCTGATGGATGCAATTGACTAGTTATGAATTAGAGGTTGACTGACAGGGCTTATAATGTATTATGAACACCTGCACTCACCTAATTCACTATGGATGCCCTCATAGCGCATTACAGGTATGGACTTTATAGAAAGTGTTACAGGTCCCACCTAAACACTACAATACTCACTACTCTTATTTTACTTATCAGTCTTTTGTTTTAAGTTACATATATGTATATATATATATATATATATATATATATTACATGTATATATGGAGAGAGAGAGAGAGAGATATAGATATAGATATTGTCCTTTACTCCTTATGTTGTGTTTTATTGTTTCCCCACATTTTTCTAAAATTCAATAAAATGCAAAGTATAAGAAAAGATGATTATATGTGTCATTATTTTCACTTTACATTGATAATATTGGACCATCGAATTGATATATTGATCCAAATTGATGTATAGTTACAACCCTACTGTGTATTAGGTTCTACAGTATATAGCAACAAAAAGAAACACCTATACTGGCTGTATAGTAAGTGTTTACTCAAACCAATCACTTATCTGTAAATACCATTTCAACCAATTCATACTTTTCTTTTTCTTTTTAGTAGTCAATTTGTACTCTCCAGGTTTCATTATTTCCATTTAATCTTTGGCGTGCTAACTACAGCTTTTTTATATATATTGCATGCTCTGTACGGGCAGCACAGTAGGCCCGTTTCCACTGAAGAAGTTCCTGGTACTATTTGGGGGGCAGGAACTACTACAGGAACGTCCTCTCGCTCGGCCCTCTCAACCGCCGTGTCTCCACTGAGAGAGCGGAGTACGAGGAAGGTTCCTGTAAAGTTACGTGCTCTGGATGTGACGTAATCGTTGCGCGACCATTTACCGGGGCGACGTAGGGACGCCGTTAGCTGATAGCCCTTAGCGGTGTCTGTAATAACTCACTAAATGGTCCGTGAAAAAAAAAAAAATTCCAGCGGATGTCTTACTTACAACATGATTGAACTAACTGGAGTAGTTTCATGTCGTATCCGACAACGGGAGGCTTTTAACAGATGACGTCCTGATGTTAGCCTGCTGTTAGCTGTCCCTGTCAGCGGCAGCCACTGATGCTTTCTAGACATCGTGATTTCCCAAAACTGAATAAATACCACACATAGCAACACAAAACTGCTTTGCTTGCTCAATCATGTTGTAACTAAGATATCTGCTGGAAAAAATATTTTTTTCACGGGCCATTTAGTGATTTTTTTTTACATGACGGAGGAAGCTATATGAACGAGCTAATCCTCGTCTGCTGAGTTTTAAAAATGCCGGCTATTTTGTTGCTTTCTGTTGACATCACATCCCTCCTTGAGTATATCCAATCAGCACCAAGTAATCCCCAAGCCCCAGCTGGGAGTCTTTCGGGGCCGTTCTGAGTACCTACCCTGAGGCAGGGACTTGTTTAGCCCCCGTAAAAGTTCCGGAACTCTGTCCTTCGGGGGTGGTTCCTGCGGTGGAGACACGCACCAATGGCCCCGGCCCTGTAAAATTACCCCGAAGTTCCTGCGGTGAAAACAGGCCTAATGGTGCAGTGGTTAGCATTGTCACCTTACAGCAAAAGGGTTCCTGGTTCAAACCTAGGGTGATTGGTGTGAACCCCAGGGTGGGGGAGCATGCTTCCTCCCACAGTCCAAAGACATGCAGATTAAGTGACTCTAAATTGGCTGTAGGTGTCAATGTGAGTGTGAATGTGTCAGCCCTGTGATAGTCTGACAACCTGACCAGGGTGTACTGTAGTATCTGAAGTTCTACATGGTATGTGACGTCTTGGGTCTGATGATCAGTTAGGGGCCCAGTTAGGGGCCCAGGGTCAAGAAGGTATATATGGCCAGGGTCAAGAGGGTATTTATGGCCCAGGTAAAGGATTGGTGAAGTCCAACTAGGGTGTCTCTCTGTGATCTGTTTCATTTTGTTTCACATTTCACAAAAACAACCAACCTATATAAGCAGGGTAGTTGGAGCTGTTATTCAGAGCAGTTCATATTGGCTTTGAACCCTCTCTCAGGCAATCCTAGGTGCTTGATTTGATGCTGTAGTTCTTGTAATAAACCTTTCTTTATACAAGCAAGACGGTGTCAGCGGAGTCTCCTTCATCACCTTCACATCATCGCTATTTAATAAACAACAGTACCCTGCCTCTTGCCCAGTATCAGCTGGGATAGGCTCCAGCCTTTTTGGGCGTAACTTTAACCTCAAGGTTTAATTTCTATTTTGTTTGTTGGGTTTTCACCGCATCTCATGGTCTTCCTCAGCAGACGAAGTTTGCTCAGTGATCATGGAGTCAGCTCAAGCGTCATCATCAAGTCACATGATAATAGGTGGCTATGTATGATTTAATTGTGCAAACTGGTTATGGTGGTTAAAAGCTCTGGGAAAAAAATGAAACTGAAAATGAAAGGGTTTTTTTTCTCAATGTAGCCTAGATTCTGATGCTTGAGACAATCTGTTGTACTTCAAACACTTCTCTCAGGATGGAAAGGAATCACAGCAGCAAGTCAGCATGCTGTAACTACAGTGGCTCCAGCAGGCGTCAAATCAAATCACAGCAGCATGTTAATAACATTATCTGTCAATAGTGTACTTTGACTCCCGAGCTCCACAGTCATCACTGTAATTAATACTGTCCGAGGATTCTGTGCTGAAACTTGCGATACTTTGCCGTTCTTTCCCACATCAGTCTTGTCCAGCTCATTAAAGCACAGTCAGCGACATGAATGGGAAATAGATTTTAAAACAACGCCTGCTAATGGAAGCTGAGAGCAAGGATGATTAATGGATGATTGTTTAATCGATTAATATCCAGCCTCAGAGGATTTACAGCAAGGGAGACTTCATTTCATGTTTTGCTGGTCTGGAGACATTAAAGAGCTTGCAGCTGATATTTCCCCCATCTCAGCCGCCACCTTTCTTTATGCAAACCTTATGAATGGAGGAGGTTTACATGCTGATAAGTTTCAATGCTGACATTTACATTAGCAGCCATATTAACTTCCTTACTATGAGGATCCATATGAGCATACATTCAATAGTCTTTTCAACCCGACTTATTTAAAACACTGATTAGAACGCATTCAATACCACGCTTTGAGACTCTGATCCTCTGCTTAATGTCAATACTTGTGCAGAGAATGGAATGCAGATTGCCATATTTCATCAAGAACAAAGTACTACTTAATACCATAACCTAAAGAATTTCACATTCTGCGCTTCTATACATACAGAGCATTTTCCTGTATTGCTTCAGTGTCAACATCCAGCAGCACAGCAGACATTCATGAGATGTTAAGCCGTCGTCTCAGTCACATGCAAGGACTGTTAATCCCCAGACGCCCAGGAGTTGTGTTGATGACAGCATTTCCTAATCTGTGTTTTAGCTACATTTCATATGCAATAAAGATCTCTTCTCTCCTCTCTTCTTCTTCTCCTCCCCTCAGGTTGGAGGACATACCATGCTACCTATTCGCTGGATGCCCCCAGAGAGCATCATGTACAGGAAATTCTCAACGGAAAGTGACGTCTGGAGCTTTGGAGTGATCTTGTGGGAGATCTTTACCTATGGGAAGCAACCTTGGTTTCAGCTGGGTAACAATGAGGTACAAAGAGCCTGAAGCGTTTACATAACACCCATTCTTGAGAACTGGGACAAACCTAATTTTGGGGCAAGGGTTTGATTTTTACACTTCAGTTAGGCTTGGAAAATATCAAAGTCTTGACTATTAAATCTTGTAATGGGCTAACCTCCCAGTGATTAAATTTTATCTTATAGCATATATGATGGATGTCAGAGGTAAGATCTGACAGAGTTGACATCTTACAGAGTTGAAAAAAGTTCTCTTACTGCTAATCAAAACTAATTTTAAACCATAATTCTTATGTAGGTTTGATTTAGAAGAGCACAGACTGGGACATTTGAGGACATGAGGGGGCTTAGCCTGATCCTCTGTAGGTGCCCTTGGGAGTGTTCTTTTCTTTCTTTCTTTTTTTGATGAACAAGCTCCATATTGATCATTTTTTTTATGCACAGTAGTGTTTTATTTACCCTTAGAAATAAGTATTGAGTAAAAACAGAATACTTTGCAACTGCCATCATTAAAATTTACATAAATTTGTACTTGAGTATTTACATTTTATGCTAATATTTATACTCCACTACATCTCTTAGAGAAGTATTGTACTTCTTACCCTACTACATCTATTTATTTGTCTGCTTTAGTTACTTAAAAAAAATAATAAAGTCACACTCAGAGAGGACCCAAAATTTGCATTTTTGATCACCGATATATTATTTTGGGGGGGCTGTAATGCATAAACGGACAGATCATTAGATCAGGAGCTTTTTGGTTTTTTTGTCAGGCCTATTTGTATTTTTTAAAATATAGATGTAGCTTTAATATTTAGACCTGGGGCTTTCAATGAAACATCTGAGGCTGAAGCCTCACACGCCCAGGCCTGACAACATCACTGGCGACAGAGTTGACATGTTACGGTAGAGACACATCTGATAGCCATATTATTCAAACTTTCCCACCTTTTTGGCAACCAGGAGGTGAGACAGGAGTCTAACCACTTTTATGCCTGGTTAAATTACGTTTTTTAAGAAATCTGAGGGAGTTGACACAATCTGGGGCACATCTTTAAAGAGCCAACAATTTCACAAAATGTACATTTTAAAACAAAGATGATTATAACATTACATTTGATACCAATGTTATTAGTATGTACTATTAATTTCAGAATTTGAAGGCTTTTAATGCATTTTTTAAGTTGTGAATTCTTGTCTGGGACAAGGCTGTGTTCTGGCCCAAGTACTTCTGGCGCAAGTTAAAAGTTTAAGTTAAGTTAAAAGTAAAAAAAAATGAAAGCATATCAAAATATTTTATAGATCATATTTATTTAATGTATGTAAATCATTTAAAAATAATGTTTCACCCCAGAAATGGAATTAGCATGTTAATAAGTTAGAATTTCAAGGGTTTCTTTGTGGTTAGACATAATTTGTCCCCATTCACAAGAATAGGTGATAAGCTTTCACGTGATACACTACATGTTTATTATCAAAGACTGTACCACAGGCCTTCATGCACACATTGAAATTGCAGCTCCAGTTTTTTCATTGGTAAAAGTCTTCCATTGCATTTCCTGCTAGTAAATGTATTTATTTCAAATCACATTAAAAACAGTAAATTAATTGAGTTGTTTTTAAAGTAGGAATTGAATAGCGTGGCTTACAGAGATGCGATGGCTGACTTGAAAGCATGAGCACTCTAATAGCTGATTTAAATGAACACTGCCATGCTGGATCTTACTCTACTGCCTCGTGTTGTTTCTGTTCTCTTTCTGAGAGTCGCGCCGGCCCAACGAGGTGATAAATTGATGCCGCTTTGCCACCAGACAAGATGCTGCATTACATAACACCCATGATTGGTTTGTTTTTTCATTGGAGGCTCTGCTTTGAATCAATAAAATTCAATTAGGATTACTCTTGTAAAGCGGGCATATTGAGAAAATTAAATTGACCTAAAAGAATAACCTGGCATGTGGCATGCATTGCACTTATAAGTATTTCAATTGAAACATCAATACATTCTTGGGCTTGACACAAATTGGTATTTCCACATTTCTGTGCATCTCCAGCTGAAAGATTTTCTAGACACTCTAAAATGAAACACTCAGCTGATTAAACTATATTGCCGAAACCTTACGGCAGTGTAATGAGATGAGCACCATATTATGTCATAGCCAAAAAAGAACAGGGAAAATCCACAATCTGTTTCTCAGTTGTAGTTTTGTCTTCAGGTGCTGTTAGATTGGAATATTTTATTCACTATTCAGTAATTCAGATTTGTCTAACACACTACACAATGATACATTATGGCAACAATTATTATATACATATATATATATATATATGTACAGGGGTATCAGTGACAGTGATAAATTATCACCTGTGGGAACTTGTTTCAAACAGGCCTCATTCTCCTCTGGGCTCTATGGGCTCCACTACTTTTCAATGCTTTTATTTACAAAAAAAGGAAAAAAAGAAAAAGCTATCGCAGACAAAAAAAAATAAAATTATAGCAGAAGGGCAACTGCCTTTTTGCCAAACATCGTTCGAACTCACAATTTATTATAGATTCTAGTGGAGATTGCAAGGTTTTCAAAGATACCAAATATGTCTGAAATTGAAAGAAATATGTATTAAATTATGCATAAGACAATTGATGGTATGGTGCTGCCATAATAAAAACATAGGTTTGTTTATTTCACTTAGTGTAAACATCACATAGCTTTGGGGAAGAGCTGGAACAAGCTGATACAGGATGTATACAAGATGCTGCCAGGCAGTGAGAAAAGATCATTTTAACAACTCTGAAGATACTTTCAATGAAGTACAAGGGGATACATGTGAGCATTTTACTAAGATACCTCTGCTACAGGAGGTCTAGGGTTAGCTAGTCTTCTACTCCGGTGCTCCTGCAGCCTGCTAAACCTCCCTGTAGCTAGCGCTAAGCTGACAAATACACTCTTTATTTTCACTGCTCCCTTTTCTATTACAAAAAGTAGCATTTTATTGCTCTGTGTTAGGCACCAGTAAGCTCTTGTGTTTTTAAAACTATTGCCATGTCTAAAGCCAAAAACTATTTTATAAAGTAGTCATACACAGAACCCACACAGGTGTACTCACTTGTTGTCTGATTAAACCTCTCCTCAGGATAATGTGGGCGTGTACAAACATCTCCCTCTCATTAGTAGCATAGAGACTGGTGACATCAGTTATTCCCAGCACAGAGTTCCAGATCAGCCAGGGTAATTGAGAACACCTGTGTGGGTGTACAGGGCTTTTAATTTGCAAAGTAACACACAACTACAGCTGTCAAATACATGAAGTGGATTACAATTTACAGTAAGTACCTCTATTATCGCTATCAACAAATATAACCATCATTTCAAAAAAGTTGGGACGCTGTGTAAAACAGAAATAAAAACAGAATGCAATGATTTGCAAATCCATTTTGACTTATATTCAACTGAATATAGTATAAAGACAAACTGGAAGAGCTTTATTATTTCCTTGTAAAATATATAGCCTTCTTATTCTGAATTTGATGCTTTTAATACATTCCAAAAAAATGGGACAGGGAGAACAAAACGCTGGGGAAGTAGAGGACTGCTCAAAAAACAACTAAACAACTAAACAGGTTAATTGGTAACATGACAGGATCATGATTAGAGTGAAAGGGGCATGCTCAAAAGACTCAGTCGTCCACAAGCAAACATGGCATGAGGTTCACCACTGTGTGAAAAACTGTGGGCAAACAGTCCAACAGTTCAAGAATAACGTTACCCAACACACATTTGCATAAATTTAGTGATTTCACCGTCAATATTATCCAAAGATTTAGAGAATCCAGAGAAATCTCTGCACATAAGGGGCAAGGCTGGTACTACATCAAAATCGGCACAAGTGTTAAAAAGATATTACTTCATGGGTTAGGAAACACTTTGGAAAACTTTTGTCAGTAAACACAGTTTGGTGCTGTATCTGCAAATGCAATTTTATCACGTAAAGTGAAAGCCATATTTTAACAACATACAGAAACACAGCCAACTTCTCTGGGCCTGAGCTCATCTGAGATGGACAGACACAAAGTGGAAAAGTGTGCTGTGGTCTGATGAGTCCACATTTCATATTGTATTTGGAAACCATGGATGTTTTGTCCTCCAAGTTAAAGAGGAAAAGAATCATCCAGATTGTCACCAGCACAAAGTTCAAAGCCAGCATCTGTGATGGTGTGGGGGTGTGTTAATGCCCATGGCATCATGGGTAACTTGCACATCTGTGAAGGCACCATGAATGCTGAAAGGTACATACAGGTCTTAGAGCAACATATGCTGCCATCTTGACAATGTCTTTTTTAGGGATGGCCCTGTTTATTCCAGCAAATCAATCCCAAGCCACATTCAGCACGTGTTACAACAGCGTGGCTTTGTAGTAAGAGTATTGGTACTAGAATTGCCTGCCTGCAGTCCAGACCTGACTAATGTGTGGCGCATTATGGAGCAAATTGCAGAAGTGAAGACCCCGAACTGTTGAGCAGCTGAAGTCGTATATCAACCCAGAATGGGAAATAATTTCACTTTCAGCACTGCAACAAACAGTGTCCTCAGTTCCCAACACTTACTGAGTGTTGTTGAAAAAAGGTAATGTTTGAACGGTTCAATCCCCGGCTCCTCCACTCTGCATGTCGAAGTATCCTTGAGCAAGATACTGAACCCCAAATTGGTCCCAATGATGCTTCCATCGGAGTGTGAGTGTGTTAAAAACTGAGTAGCAGGTGGCACCTTGTATGGTAGCCTCAGCAGCCAGTGTATGAATGTGTGTATGTGTGTGTGTGAATGGGTGAGTGTGACTCATAGTGTAAAAAGCGCTTTGAGTGGTCGGATGACTATAAAGGTGCAATACAAATGCAGGTCCCTTTAACATTTACCATTTAAACATGTCCCTGTCCCAACTTTTTTGGAAGGTGTTACAGACATCAAATTCAGAATGAGTGTATATAAGTGTAAGTTAATCCGTTTGAACATCAAATATCTTGTCTTTGTACTGTTTTCAATTGAACATAAGTCGAAAAAGATTCACAAATCATTGCATACTGGTTTTATTTACGTTTTACACAGAATCCCTATTTTTTTGGCATTGGGGTTGTATGTGCATATGTATGCAGAATCTGAAGGCAACAGTACAAGATATTTGTAGCAGAAGCATTCTGGTTTTTGTTTGTTGTCAAAGAAATCACATTTATGCCGCAGGTAAACAGCCTGTGTAGAGAGCAAAAGAGGTGGAAAACACTGGCCAAAATGCAATCTGAGAACTCACAGGCTATCGTCTGATGACAGTTTCGCTTTATATTAGCTTTTATGACATTTTATCTGCATGCATATGTAGATATCTCTTTATAGAGATTAGCCAAAATGACCAGCATGGGGGAGAGGAAGTTGCCGATGGGTTTTGAGATTGATAGGTCTACCTGTAATGCAGTGATGTAGATGAAAGTACATTACATTTCACAGGTGGCTGCTGTACAGTTAGACATTGATACGTTACGTAAAAGTACATTAGCACCTGTTATGCATGTTGACTTTGAAGGCACATCCATGAGCACAGTCACACATAAGTTACACAGCTAAGGACGAAATAGAATCTGAGGTGTGATATCGCCTTCAATTAAGGCTTAAGTTTGTCACTTAAAGGGGAACTCCACTCATTTTACTAATCAAAGTCTGTTTACAGGTCTTGAGGGAAAAAAGTGAAAAAAGTTGTGCAGAGTCTTTTATGGCACCAGCGGTTGCAGCATGAAGCTAACAAATTGCCTCAAATTGTGTCACTTTGTCAGCTGGATCTAAAGACTACATGTTTCAACAATGGTGTGGAGTTTGTGAGAAGTTACCTTTCCAGATCTCTGTAGCCTGCTCCACAACTGTGCTTGATGGCAGCAGCGCAAGGCTTCGTTAGCTGCTATTAGCATAACACAACCAGTCCTCCCTCTGCAGCAAAGTTGCATTGTGTGTAATGTAGATTTTGACAAGAAAGGAGAACGTGGGGAGAGAAAAGCTGATATCTCTGGTTCTGCTGGGTTAATTAATTTATTTTTTTCGTCCATCATGAGTCCAACAATAGTGAGTGCAATAATAAATCAGTAGAGGAAATACAAGACATTTCTCTCCTACAACCTTGTTGCTAGGTAGTGGATTTATTAAAAAGTTTCTATAGGTTACAACAGCAGTATGGTTGTAAATTAGCTGGCATTCATGATAACTCCCAGGATCGTTCTCTCACATCTGTTTGGTCGTATGCTGTTGCCATGACCACTGCAGCTTTTACCAGAGGTTGTTTGTAATGTTCCTGAACTGGGAATTTATGCAAAGTGGCTACATATGTCTTTGCAGGAATTGACACTCTATCCCCTCAGTCTAAGTCTCAAGGCAGTCTGTCTGCCAGGCCTCTCATCCTTTGGTGACAAGACATGACAAACAGAATGTAACAATAGAGAGAAAGCAGTGCTTTACCTTGGTACACGGATGCAACAGGTGGAACAATAAAACAGGGTATTCCCAGTTGGTTTTTGTAATATTCTGTATTGTTTCAGCTTTTTACTGTTGTTGACACTCTTGAGTAAAAACCACAGTGAAATCACATTTATTTAAACACAGATTATGTTTGTCGTACATTCTTTCCAGAAAATTAGGCCTCAGATAGTAGTAGATTATCAAATGCTTTGTTCTGACACCGTGCTGCTGTGCTGCTAGCTTGCAAGAGCATGAAATTGCATGACACCATAATATGTCTTACGGGGAGCGTTTCCCTTTTTCTTCTATAGCTGGGCTGATAATTATTCTGCACCTTAATAACCGAAAAACTTTTGAAATGAACATAATGTTTGAGCTGGTGTCAGTACCTGCGTTTGAAACATGAAGAAATTGTGTGTGGTGACAATGCTGAAAAACAAACAAACTGAAAATAACAATTTTTCTGTGTACTTTTTCCAGTGCAGCCTCACTCATTACACACAAATAATAGGCCCCTATTCAGTCTCTTAAGCTACAGTGGCCTGGAATTGACACAAATAATAAAGTCAAATTGTCCTGCAGCGATGAGTCATCTGGCTAATTAGAGCACAAGTCGAACAAAGAAATGATCAATCCCCCTTTTATTAACATCTCAAACATCCACTCCCACAGATACTCAGTATTATTATTTTGTGCTGTGGCACCAAGAAAAAAAACATCTTGTTCCTCCTTTAATATTGGACAAATTTAAGAGTGAATGCATACTGTTTATTTCTTTCATCTCAGTTTCATTAGTTCAAACCTCAAAGGACAGTCTGCTCAGTGTCACCGGTTTCTCATTATAACTAAAGCAAAGCAATCAGTCAGTGAAAACCTCTGTCTCACTCCACTGCCCTGTCTCCTCTGCAGGTTATTGAGTGCATAACCCAGGGTCGGGTTCTGGAGAGGCCACGGATTTGTCCTAAGGAGGTGTACGACATCATGCTGGGCTGCTGGCAGAGGGAACCGCAGCAGCGACTGAACATTAAGGACATTCAGAAGGTCCTGTTCGCCATGGGGAAAGCCACGCCGGTCTACCTGGACATCCTGGGCTAGCAGCCATCCGGGGTGGCCCGTTCCTCGCCAGACAGACAGAACGACAGAGACATACAGACAGACCGACCCACACGAATCCAGGAATAACCAAACCAACCTACTCCACTGTCGAAAAACACCTACAATGTTTGGGAAGGACTTAAGTGCCTGCAACACTTTTGGATATAGTGGATATAACGTATTCAAAAAACACGCACTTTTACATTTTGTTTACTTGCGTATAAGATGTACAGGTTTGAAGAAGACTTTTTTTTTCCTCGAAAAACTGCAAAAATACACAAAAATGGAGACAAAAAGGGAAGTGAACTGGCAATAGGAAAATGGCCACAGTTTGATCATATTATGGAGAGAACACATCAGAGTTAAAATCTATCCTGGGTTTGGTTTTATGAATATATATAGAAATATTACATATATTTTATATTTATTTCTTTTTGTCAGGATGTTGAAGGGTCTGCCATGTTTGTTGCTAAGGGCTCGGCCCTGCCCGAAGACGTCACCGACAAACTATTGGCAGGGACTCGACGATGGTAGCCTTACTTGCACTCTGATTGGCTGGCACTGAGCTTTTGACGGGAACTCTGCTTCTGTGGAATTACACTGGATGGTTGAGAAAAAAAAAAAAAGAAGCGCTCTGTAGAGGACCTACCCAATCAGACAACCGACAAATCTATTTTAATTTAAAAATAATGTACATATTGTAAAATTCTATGTGTCAAAATTATGTTAACTTATTTTTTCGGGTGTTATTTTGGTTCCTTTTCTGACTGTGATCTGGGTGGCTAAAGTATAAAGCTATGGTATTTGTTTTCATCCTAATCCAGAAGAGATTTCTCTTGGGAATTACCTGTGTCGGTGCTGGTAAGTTGTCTTATGTGGTGAAGGTGAATGGCAGTGAATACAGTTCGATAAGTCAGCTGACACCGAATCACAGAGACTCTGGAGAATGGGGGACGACTCGGAGCCATCAACACGACACTTTTCCAAAGAGGCAATGAAGCCTCTTATTCACTTTCCGGTTCATTTGCTTTCTATGGCAAAAATAATGCGTTGATAAGTACTATGTTACACCACATCCCTCGAACACATACACACGCTTTGAGAAACTGTTCTGTCATTTTTAGGCTTTTTGGTGTGAAACTGCTTTTCCACTCTAAAGAAAACATTTTTGTAACTGGAAGGATGAATCATCTGTTAGCTGCAGGTGTGTGTGTGTGTGTGTCGCATACACAGCCCAAGAAAATCTCTAACTTAAAGGAATAGTTAGACATTTTTGGAAATAGTCTTAGTTACTTTTTTTGCTTAGAGTTTGATGAGAGGGTTGATGCGAGTCTCATATCTGTCAGCTCAACATGAAGCTGGAGCCTGAAAACAGGGAAAAAACTAGCCTGGCTCTATCCAAAGGTAACATCTACCAGTTCCTTTAAAGCTCACATATGCTGTGTTCAAAGGGGGTCGTGTTTATCACGTTTACAAGAAGAGTCCACGTGAATGCCCCCCTGTTAGGATATTTATGACCTTGTCAGTGAAAATTTCTGAGAGCTTCATGTTCACGACTTAGTGTACGTGACTTCCCATGTCTTTAACATGAGCTCACGAGTTCCACTCGAATGCAGTACTAACCATTTTATCTTATGCTAAGCTACAATAACCACTTGCTATAAATAGCTTGATTTCAGTCAGTTCAATATGAAGCTGGAGCCAGGAGTTGGTTTGCTTATCTTAGCACATAGACTGAAAACAGAGGGAAATAGCTCACCTGGCTTTATCCAAAGGTAACAAAAAACACCTATCAGCCCTTCTAAAGCCCACATAAGACTGTTAGCTTATGCCAAGCTAAAATAACTGGTTGCTATAAGTAGCTTCATATTTACTGTCACCCCAGTATGAAGCTAGAGCTAGGAGTTGGTTAGCTTAGTTTAGCACACAGACTAAGAACACAGGGAAAATGGCTGGCCTGGTTATATCCAAAGGTAACCAAAAACACCAATCAGCACTTCTTTAGCTTACATAAGCCCATTAGCTCATGCTAAGCTAAGATAATAGGTTGCTATAAGTAGCTTTGTATTTACTGTACAGACACGAGAGTGGTATCAGTCTTCTCATCTAACTCTCAGAAAGAATGCAAATGAGTATATTTCCCAAAAATTGTCAAACTTGATTGCAAACATTTAGGTCAATACCATAAGGATCCCGTCACTTCACAAGCTGAGAAAAAAACATGGTGGCTTCTTCCCTCACATTTCATTTAGAACAACAAAATAAAAACTTTAAGTTTTTACTTTTCTGATTTTTTTTTCTTTACCATCAACTGTACATGACACACAGTCACTCTTTTCTTCCTCGCACTCGTGGCCTTTGCATGTTTAGCAATGATGAGGTTTTGCACCCATCTATTGCTTTGATAAAAACCTCTTCTGCCACGACCAGAGAGGAGCCACTGAAGCAGGTAGACACTTGTGTTAATTTGTGGATGGTACATCAAAAATAATAATCACTAAAGTGGATCAGCTAACTGTGTGGTATTGCGCGTTCCATATTTTTGATAATTACAGTATTTAATGAACTGGTAAACATGAAGAGTTTTGTTCCAAAATGTGGCAGAAAAACATGACCCCCAAAAAGCTTCACAGCAAAAAAAGAAAAAAAAATCTAAAACCAAATGAAATTACTTTTAAAGACTCGTTCTTAATTAAGTGCTCGAAAATGAGTTCATTTTTACAGAGTGGATTCTGTAGATTTCTCAGACACCGAATGGAAAACCTCAGGCAACAATTTTATTTTATGTTGTATCTGGATATATAGCGTTTTGGAGTGGAACTCTTCACATCTCTTCCTTATTATCTTAACATGAATTCTCACAGTATCACAGTGTTGTCTCTGTTCCCCTTGGGACTATGTAAATCATTAATGAGCATTCAGTTATTTCAAGTATTTTATATGAAAGGCAGGATCAAATCCAACGAGTTACCCAAAGCATTGAGTTTTTGTGTATTCTCTTGTGGTAAAGATAAACGCTTAAAGACATTATGACACAGACCGTGAGCATTTGCAGGGTATTGTAATCCTTTCATGGTGAGTTGAATATTGTTTTAAAAAAAAGTTTTCCTTTTCTTTTCTTGGATGAACTAACTGAACACTTTTTGAAGCAAAGTTGGCATATTACCATGTACACATGTTACAGAATATAAAAATGTGGTATAACAGCTGCAGTATATAAAATACTGGTATTCCATGATAGATCTTTGTATTAATGTGACTCTCTTAAGAAAATGTCTTCAAACAATCAGACGATCTCCTTTTCCATTTTGTCCTGTCTTATAAAGATGTGTAAATTTGACAAAATGTTGTCCTCATCTAAATCTCTGCGAGAGATTGCATGTGTTCAGTGTGCGTCCTGTATTATCTGCTGTTCTATCCACTTCTGAAGTGATAGAGACATGTGTTTAGGGGCGGCTGTGGTTAAGGAGGTGGAGCAGGTCGTCTGTTAATTACGGAACTGGCAGTTCGATCCTTGGCTCCTCCTGCCCACATGTCAAGTGTCCTTGAGCAAGATGGGCAGAGGCCAGCACCTTGCATAGCAGCTCTGTGGCCCAATCGACTAAATCCAAGTTTTTTTTGCTTTCCATCTTTATTTCTTTTTTGTTAAAATTTTAATTGCGGTTGCTCAGTTCTGAACAATGGTGTATGATGTATTCACATATTTCACTAAAAGTAACAGTACTTCAGTGTAAAGATACTCCAGTCCAAGTAAAAGTCCTGCATTCAAAACCTTAGGTAACACTACAAAAGTACGGAAGCGCATTGCATTCACTGGATAGAAAAAAAATTAGACACCTTATCTCGTAATTACGAGAAAAGATCTCGTAATTATGAGATCAGGATCTCGTAATTACGAGATAAGATCTTGTAATTATGAGATCAGGAAAGGTGCCACATTGGCCACTGCTTCGCTCAGAATCACATAGCCTACTGCACATCCACGAAGGGGGTCGGAACTACTGTAACCAGCTGCCACTCGGATGGTGCCATCTTGACTATATCCCGTATATTTATTACAGTGTGCATATATTGTAAATTACGACGGAGTATTAGGGCCACATTGAAGAAAAAAAAATTGGAGATTTCGAGAATAAGGTCATAACTGAGAAAAAGTCAGAATATTACGAGAAGTCGTAGTTTTTAAGGAAATAACCAACAACAAACAGAATGTCAGATTGTCTTTCATGCCGTTGTAAGTAGCCTACTTAATTAGGTTCGGGAACCGGGACTGTGCCGGTTCTGTGTCATTCGAAATGCGCTGTTTGTGACTCCGGGCCCAACTCTGCCACCGATTGGCCAGTCTGTCATCCTTCATAATACATAAAGAACGTTAGTGAAACACATAGGCCTAACAGAAACATGCGTTCATTTGGGGACAAGTTAGTGGTCACTGATTTAGCTTCAGCACCGCGGTAGTGGCCAGCTCCTGTTAAGAGTTTCTTAAAGAGCGATCTCAAGTAAAATCTTAAATGGATGCAGAAAGTGAAAAGAAAGCAATTTAAAAAGTTGCCTCTATTGAAAATGCATTTAATCTCTGATTCAATTTGAAAGCTATTTCTCAAGACAAGTTCTGTAATTACTCTGTCCGCTTTCATTCTGTTTATATCTTAACAGGAGCTGGCCACTACCGCGGTGCTGAAACTAAATCAATCGATGTCAGGCACATCAATCACTCACCACTTCATCAGTGCATAAGTCACACACAGCCTACTTATTTTTTGTCTTAATATTATTTTTCTTCCGCCAGATTTCGGTGCGTAACTTGTGCCACAGCTCTGAGCGCACACAGGGTCTTCATAAAACACAGATTCAAGATTCAATATGCACAGTAAGGACACGCATTTCCCTGCAGAATGAAATTTGTTCTTTTCTGTCACCAATTAATGCCAAACAATATAAATCTTAAGTATGAAATAGATCAAAATATATACGGCGCGCACTGTTGTCCTTGCTTAGTGTAATACTCCGTCGTAATTTACAATATATACACATTATAATAAAGATATGGGATATAGTCAAGATGGCACCACCTGAGTGGCAGCTGGTTACAGTAGTTCCGACCCCCTTCATGGATGTGCAGTAAGCCTATGTGATTCTGAGCGAAGCGGTGGCCAATGTGGCACCTTTACTGATCTCATAATTATGAGTTCTTATCTTGTAATTACGAGAAAAGATCTCGTAATTACGAGATCTTTTCTCGTAATTACGAGATCTTTTCTCGTAATTACAAGATAAGGTGTCTAATTTTTTTTTTTTTTTTTATCCAGTGAATGCAGTGCGCTTCCGTACAAAAGTATTAACATCAAAATAGACTTAAAGTACCAAAACAAAGCAATTAAAATGCAAAATGGCTGTTTAAAAATAATGTATATTACTGGATTATAATAAGTAGTGCATTAATGTGTTAATCACGCAAGTGATTAATGTGTTCATCACTTGCTGCCGCTGGTAATTGTGAGGCTTATTTCAATTACTGCTGGGTAGATTAATCTGTGATAATACTTCATAAATTATTAGCTGATTTATATTTTCTATGAATCTGAGTCTGCAAAGTAACTCGTAATTAAGGTTGTCAAATAAATGCAGTGAACTTAAAAGTACAATACTTCCCTAAATCTAGTAGAGTACAAGTATAAAGTAACACAAAATGAAAATACTCAAATAAAGTACCTTGAATTTGTACTTAAGTACATTACATGGTTAAATGTACTTAGTTACATTCCACTACTGATTCTGAACACAGGAGTCATACACATATTGCCAAAATCACAACAACTTTTTGTGCTCCAGTGATGACAATATCTCTAATGTCCATTGAGGATTAACTTCCATAAATCAGCATAGAAATCACACAAGAAAGACGTCTCATATGTCCCCATGTTTTTACATTTTCATCAGCATTAAAAGTAATCAGGCTCAATTTATGCCTGTAAAGATACCGTAACAACAAGTACTACTAGTTACCAGCACAGCGTGACTTTTCATAATGCAGGTTCACCAAAATTTAAATAAATGTAGAACTTGCAGCGTGAAAGGCATTCTAGACTAATTTAATCTTTCTGTTAATAGCTATTGTTTTTACTGGACTTTACTGTATTGTCCCACACCCACTGCACTCTGACTCACTGACTCCATGGCAACAGAATACTGTTTCCATCACCTAATGCATAATGTGACCTACAGTCCCAAAACCCAGAACATGTTTATTCCAAATAGAAATAGGAAACACAACTGGAGTGACACGATCCCATAGACTGTATAAATAATGGACACAGCTACTGTGACGTCACTGGTTGGTTTGTGGACTCCCAATGTGACGCCTCAAGTTCAAGTTCAAGGTCAAGTTTGGCTGTAACTGCCGTGGATTTTTTGGAGCAAGACTTGACCATCTTTGGGTGAGAGGCTGGTGCTGTGGAGGATCGAGGAGCGAGGTGTGGATGGATAGAGACTGATCTATAGAGCTATAGAGGAAATGCAGTTTATGGCACTTCAATGTTGGCTTCATTTTTCTGCCACTTACAAGATCCATTAATACTAGCTTTTTGTTGTTGTTGCTGCTGCTGTTGTTTAGCAAGGTCAGTACTTTCTTTTCAGTACTGACAGTGGGGCTCCACCGGGCACGTCAGCGGCACGACACATCTGCAGCGCGAGTCCCGTAGCAGCTCGCCCGCCTGTTGATCAATTACAGTGGCTGCACCGGCAATGGGAGTGGCGCAACAACCCCCGTCTGTCGCGCGACACCTCTCTATTTTACGCGGCTCTTCTTTTTTTGTCGCGCTACGCTCCCCTACGCGACCCTCCAGCAGATAAAAACTACATGCAATAGTGTGCTAAACGAGCACAATGTGTTTTTAAATGAATAAACCATTATCAGAGGTGATATGTGATGATTTTTTTTTCATGCATTTACCCATGTTTGTCCGTGACATTGTGTAAATGTCTGTGGCGGACATTTGAAAGCGAGTAGATGACAAACAGTACAGTAAACTTGTAGATAACTCAAATATATGTAATAACTTAGGTGGAAAATGCTTTAACATTTCATGCAGCCTCTCGGCTCGGCAAACGGTAAACAACCCCGCTGGCTTCTTTACGTGTCGCTTCCATACGCAGTCAGTGGAGTCCAGATGAATACGCTATGACGCTACGCTGACGTGACGCTTGCAGCCGGTGGAGCCCGGCTGTAAGGCTCAGATTGTGCCATACACATGATCCTTCCATCTAAATCCTTGGAACACACACACTCCTCTATCTGTCCATACACAAATATTTGTGACCTATCATAAACTTCTAGCCTGAAGAAAGTCAACTTCTAATTGTCTAAAACTTTGTTGCTGTTATTGTTTTCATAAAGAGTGACCTACAGCATGCAGGCTTTAGTACAACTCACATCCAACTTGACTGCATCTCTGAGAAGCCCAGCATACACTGAAAGTACCTAAACAACTGACTCTGCTGAGGAGAAACTGAGAAAATAGTAATAATACTGAAGGCGAATCATTCTATACTTAGGCGATGTCTCCCAAATTAGCATATGACGATGTCCACAGTGAAAGATACCAATGTACAATGATGCATCAACTTTCCAAGCCCGACCCGCAGACTGCCAGCTTCATACATCATAGTAGCAGAACTGACTGAGACGAACAGAGACACAAGGACTGAGAACCGTGGTGCAGGTATGTATTTCAGAGAGAGAGAAAATAGGGAAGGGGGGAGGAGAACATGGAAGCTGGACTACTGCACGCAATGTTTCTGTAATGGCCTTACTTAATTGGGATTCTGCTTTGTCGCTTTGTGACCTGCCCGCCAACAGCGACAGCGTCGTCCATCAGCCCAGCCCTACCTCACTGAGGCTGGATTTACCACTAATTTGATCCCTTGCAAGGAAACCAGTAGTTTCAGCACAATGCTATTGTGCACATGCTATAACATCATCTACCTGAAAATCATATGTTTGATTGGGCAGCTTGTAACATTGCCAGATGAGGTTAGACTGTGCTGCAGCAAAGGTTGGACCAGGATAACCTCTTTTGCTGTGTGACCCAATATTTCCGTCTTTCTTTTTTTGCCAGAGGCCCTTGTTAAGTCCTCCCTGCCTCACCAGTGCAGTGGTCTTGATGAAATAACACCTGCTCCTCAAAATGAAAAAAAAAACAAAACAAAAAAAAAAAAACATCCTATACCTGCTCCTCACATCTGACCTTTTCAACATTAAGGCTCAGATTGTCCTATGCACATGATCAT